AGATATATAGATAAAAGTTTTGCTGTAACTGTTATATGAATAACATAGAAACTGTGTATGAAATGATAAAATAGACGTCCCATGTGGATTTGTTTCTAATATGCAAATGTTCTTTTTCCGTTCCTTGTTGCCTTTTCTTTTCTTTTGCCTTCTCTCGTTCCTTCATTCTTTCTTCTCTTCCTTTCTTTTCCTCTCCTACGTTTCCCTTCCCCTCTATTCTTATTCCCTCGATTTCCTCACTTTTGTATTCATCTCTTCCTTCCAATTCCTTTTTTCTTGCCTTCTTTCGTTTACCTCTTCTTCCATCTCTCCATTTTCCCTTGTGTTCCTCTCATCCCCCTCCTTCCATCTCTCCCTCTTCCTCTTCCATCCCTCTCCTTTCCCTCCTTCCATCTCTCATCTTCCCGTCCTTCCATCTCTCCCTCTCCCCTTGCTTCCTCCCCTTCCCCACCTTCCATCTCTCCCTCTTCCCCTTCCGTCCCTCTCCTATCCCCTGTTTCCCTCTCTTCCTCTTCCCTTATTTTCCCCTCCTCCCCCTCTTCTATCCTCTCCCTCTTCCTCTCCATCCCTCTCCTCTTCCTCCTTCCACCTCTCCCTCCTCCTCTCCCATCCCTCTCCTATCCCTCCCACTTCCACCTCTCTCCCTCTCCCCTTATTTTCCTCTCCTCTCCCCTCTCCCTCTCCCCTTATTTTATATTTTATATTTTATATTCCTCCTCTCCCCCTCCTTCTTCAGGAGAGTCGCCGCTTCCTGCTGGGGGAGCCGCCGAAGCCCGCAGGCCCTTCGCCAGCCCAGCTCCGTCGGGCAAGGGCGCTTATGGTGGATAGGATGTCTCGCTATATCTTCCCTGTGTCCTTCACAATGCTGAATATCATATACTGGATTAGCTTTAGGGAGTACTTGTAGGGCTGTGTCGCGAAGGGGTCGGTAGGGGTTGTGTCAGATTTTTTAGATTTTGGGTTTGGTATTGTTGTTTTTGTTTATTGATTGATTTATTATTATCATCTTTATTATTTATTATCATTTTTTTGGGGGTAAGGTTAATGTTGTTTCTGTTGTTATTTATTCATTTATTTATTTTTGGTCTGTTTTTTTTTCTTTTTTTTTTTCTTTTTTTTTTTTTGGGGGGGGGGTGCGGTGTCATAGATCTTTATATATATATTATATAATATATATATATATATATATATATATATATATATATAATATATATATATATATGTATGTATGTATGTATATAGAAATTGATTTTTTTTAAGGATTTGCAAAATTGTGCTCGTTGAGTTGCAATATTGTTTTATTTATATATAATGAATATAAATATATATTTGTTGCTTTGCGTTTGTACGTTCCATGACTGGCTGATTTATTATTATTATTATTATTTTTATTTATGTCTTTCTTGGTTTATCTGCAATTACTCTTATTATTGTTGTCTTATTTTCCCCTTATCTTAGGTGAGAGGAGACAAGATGAGAAACTGAAACCTGATTAGAACTTATATATATATTTGATAGAAAAGATAATGAATAAGAAAGGAATAATAGTTATGGTAGAAGTAGAATATGAAACATTATTTCGATAACAAAACGATCGGATTTTTTTTTCAGAAAATGAGAATCTTTGTTGTTCTTTTTCGTTTTGTGATTTCTTTCATTTTTTATTTATCTATTTATTTTTTGTCATTCCCACGAATTTATTATATTATTCAAATGTGTTCTTTATGATATTAAAGGAAATCTCACCGCTATGCACGATTATACATACATACACTTACACACACACACTTACACTCACACTCAGACTTATTTTCGCACTCACAGCCACAATCACTCACTCTCACACTCTCACACACACACACACTCACACTCTCAAACTCACTCTCACTCACACTCACACTCACTCACACACACACACACACACACACACACACACACACACACACACACACACACACACACACACACACACACCACACACACACACACACACACACACAGACACACACACACACACACACACACACACACTTTTATATCACTTTTATATACAATTAATTCCTCCAGTTAGTAATTGCCATTTTGTCGGATAAATCTACATCACATTTCTTTTTACAAGTCGATGAAGGTAGAAAATTTAATCATAGACTTTAAAATGGCTTTCATATGGCGAGTATAGGACCATGTAGATTTTAACGTAGATTTCAACCCTGGGAAAACCATAGAAAGCGTCAGGATTAAAAAAAAAAAATCCGGCTTCAAAGAGGTGAATTCCTCGAGTCCGTTTTATCAATATAGGTAACGGATTTCTTAGTCATTTTTATTACCAGATTTTGCATAATTAAAAAGCAGATAAAGCTGATAAATGACATGGAGGAAAGGACAAAGAGGGAAAGAGGAAGGCGGAGAAGAACTAGAAACACAAGCAGACTTAGAAACCGAGTTATATAGTGTGAGTGTGTAAGAGAGAGAGAGGGGGGGGGGGGGAGAGATAGAGGAGAAGGGGAAAGAGCGAGAGGGAGAAAGGGAAAGAGAAAGAGGGACGGAGAGGGAGGGAGGGAAAAGAAGAGAAGAGAGAAGAGAGAGGATAGATAGATAGATAGATAGATAGAAAGAGCGAGACGGAGAAGGGGAAAGAGCGAGAGGGAGAAAGGGAAAGAGAAAGAGGGACGGAGAGGGAGGGAGGGAAAAGAAGAGAGAGAGAGAGAGAGAGAGAGATAGATAGATAGATAGATAGATAGATAGATAGATAGAGAGAGAGAGAGAGAGGGGGGGGGGGAGAGAAAAGAGAAAGACAATACAGTGCTCTGTAGCAAAATGTATATGCCAAAACGTTAACACATCTAGTTTTCATATATATATAAAACATCACAATTTTCAAAAATGATTTTTTCTGAATCTATTTAATTTCCATGCTACGTGTCCCATGCTGCCTGATATACTCATACATACTTCTCTTTAGAAATGAATATACAGCATATATTAGTGCAGGTAACATCTTATTAGCCACTTATCAACATGTATTCAATCAGTGCAACATAGAAACGCTGTTATCTCAAATCTCAAAAAAAGTGGATTATATTTTATTTCGTAAAGGAAGTGCACAGAAAAAAATATTAGAAAGAAGCACATTCCTTTGTTAATGTTATCACTCTTATATGCGTGATTATTGTCATTACTACTATCATTAGTAATGTTATGATTTTTTATATTATGATAATGAATACGATAATTGTAGTAATGACAATAATAATGATCGTGATCATGATCATGATAATAAAAATAATGATAGTACTGATAATGATGATTATCATAATAATAATAATAATGATAATAATAATATATTAAATGATAATAAATGTTCATAATTATCATTATTGCCATTACTATTATTGTTGCTGTTAGCATCATTATAATTGTCATTTTCATTGTTATTATTATCATCATCATTATTGTCATCATCGTTTTTATTATTACGATGATGATCATCATTATTCATAATATTATCATTGTTATTAATATTGTCATAATTAAAGTTGCCATTATTTCCATTTTTATCATTATGTTTTCATCCTTATAATTAGAGCTTTTGAATAGTTATCGTTATCATTGTTATCTTTGTTGATTTTACTTTATCGTTATCATTATTGTTATCATCATTATTATTAGTGGTATTAGTATTATCATTATCATTATAGGTATAATCATTACTATTATTATTGGTAGTAGTATTATCATTACTATTGTTTTCACCAATATTATCATCATAATAATCATCACCATTATTATCATTATTATTATTATCATTATTATTATTATCATTATTATTATTATCATTATTATATATCAGTATCATATAATCATGACTATCATAAATTATTGATATTATTGATATTATGAACGCTGTCCTAAATGGAACAATAATTACATTTTTGTTACTTTTAATACCATCACTATTATTGTCATTTCACTGATCATTTCATCTTTCGTATTGATTCTCTGATTTAATATTGAAACATTAGAAAAAAAACAAACAAAAATAAACAAGGATAGAAGGTCATAGAGTGGAATAGGTATTTGAGAAGAACCAACTGTAGTACACGTAGAAGAGGAAAATAATGAATGACTTTCGAAACTAACAAAAAAATCCTACCTCTCCATTACTTTATTAATCTATATTAATTCTCTATAAACTATACGTGATCATAGAGCTATTTAGGGTATCTTATATTTAAAAAAAAGCATATCCACACTCACCTATATCATGTTTAGAATTCACAATAGGCTCATGAACCCTTTTTATATAGTATTAGATTCGATTTTGTAGTGTCGATATGATGAAGGGTTTAGATTGTGTATTGTTTCTTGTTGAATAAATTGCTGCATATGAATTTGTTTTTTTTTCGTTTATTTTTCTTCTGGAGAGAGAGGAGAGAGAGAGAGAGAGAAAGAGAGAGAGAGAGAGTGAGAGTGAGAGTGAGAGAGAGAGAGAGAGAGAGAGAGAGAGAGAGAGAGAGAGAGAGAGAGAGAGAGAGAGAGAGAGAAGAGAGAGAGAGAGCGGGGAAAGAAAGAGAGAGAGAGAGAGAGAGAGAGAGAGAGAGAGAGAGAGAAGAGAGAGGAGAGAGAGAGAGGAGAGAGAGAGAGAGAGAGAGAGAGAGAGAGAGAGAGAGAGAGAGAGAGAGAGAGAGAGAGAGAGAAGAGAGAGAGAAAGATAAATATAGAAAATATATATATAGAGAGAGTGATAGTGAGAGTGAGAGTGAGAGAGAGAGAGAGAGAGAGAGAGAGAGAGAGAATATCAGAGAGAGAGAATATCAGAGAGAGAGCGAGAGAGAATATCAGAGACAGAGAGAGCGAGCGCGAGAGAAGGGAAAAGAAAAGAAAGAGAAAAAAAAGTGAGATAAAAAGAGAAAGAGAGGGTACTAACACACCAGGAACAGTAAGGCAAGAATAAAAACCCATAAAAAACACACGCAAAGGGAATCACAAGCCAAAGCCACAGGCGACCATCCGAACACTAAAAGGTCAAGACATAAATAAAGCAAATAACAGCGATTCTTGGAAAAAGTTTTAGCCGAATAGATTCTTTTAATTTTGGATGTTCCTGCTGAGGTCGATGCAGATGGCGAGAAAGGGGAAAAAAAAAAGAATAAAGATGGGAAGTTAATATAATAGAAGATAGGGCCACTAACGAATGGTTAATATTGTAATATCTGTTTTTTTTTTCTTTTCTTTCTTTTTGCTTTTGTTTTGTTGGCTTGCTTTGCTTTAGTTTGATACATTTACAATTACGACACCATTGCGAACCATTTTTTTTAATATTGTGTTTTTAATGCCTTTTTATATGTATATATGTATTTTTTGATTTGTACCCCTTTCTTCATTTAATTTCTTTTCTCCTCTTTCTCAATGCTGTGATGATTGATACTGTTGATATCTCTTTGTCATCGTGTTCATCTTTTTCGTCATGTGTCCCTTCCTGTTCTTCCATATTCTTCATCGTATCCGGAAGCTGTACAAGAAAAGGTACACAAAAGTACAGCAACATAAATAAGTCTTTTAAAACACCACATACAGCCAGTTTCCACATATATAATCATAATCATAAATAATCAGCTAAAAGAAGAGAAAGAACATGCAAAAGAGAAAAGAATATAAGATCATGTAATATAACGACAACATTTGTGGCTACGGAGTCATCAGTAACAGTATTGAAAAAACAGCGACTAATCTGGTAGTATACTTTATGATCAGATTTGCAAAAAATTTGAAACCAATTGCAGAATAATACTTAAGTGGTACGGAAATGTGCAATGGAATTATAAAGGGATATTTAAGGTGGATGAATGTTGGGGATAGAGCCACCAGGTGGGAGAAGAGGAATGTCAAGGACGAGGTTTATTTATGTGACGAGGGAGAACATGCATGTTGGGTATAACAGGGAGAGATAC